TATGTAAACTAATAAAACGAATCGCGTGCACTTTATGGCGTAAGAAATGAAGCCATTAGCGGTGCATCCAACAAAATGGCTGTTCCGTGTGAAGGGTTGCACTGTCGGTAATCAATAATTTAAGATAGCAAAACGAGTGGAAAGTGTGAATATACGTCGTGATAATTTACATTTGACTGCCTTTGATACTATTTTTAGTTTTCTTTAAAGTTTTCAAGTCAAAGATTTCCTATAGTATTATGAAGTGTTTGGTAGAAAAGTTTAACCATCCAAAACAACTGAAGTACCACAAGACAGTGCAGAGTTAACAGCTACAATTACAATAGATACAATAACAATACATGTAGTTTACAGTGGAAATAACATTTAATCAGAATATACTCGTGTTACTGACGATGATACTGATATCAATGGACTTGTTAACAGAATTAGAGGATTGAAAATTGAGTAATATTTACTGGCACTAATTGGATTTTTGATGAAAATCAATTTGATGAAATTAGCATTGCGATCTTAAAATAGATTTGACTGGAGGTTTTCAACCCTTTTGGACAATTTAAGACATCTAACAAAAGAGTAATGATGATAGAAAGTTAAATGGGACATTTATTTATCTATCTATAATCTTACGTATTAGAATCAATATTGCCGATGACCGTTTTTACATTTGGTTAGGATACTAAATGATCTTGTCCCTTTAAGCGAGAATTGATATTCTGTGTGTAAGAAATTGATGATGAAATCTGTATTCTGATTTTTGGGACGTAATATTCTTGACGTTTAAAAGAAGACGCTGTGCTTTGGTATACAAAATACAAGATGTCCAGCATTCTTGTAATTTTTTAGCAAACGAATATATATAAATTAATGAAATTTCCTCGGTGAGACATCATATCCTGTCACTAAAGTTATTATTTCTAGTTTCAAACTAAACCACATAACAAATCTGTAGTCATTTTGATTCTGAACACTGACAACCGATACCAGTTTTGGTAACTAGTGTTGCACATACGAATGGGCGTGTCCCATTAAGACCTAATTTATTTTGAATAAAATGTTTTCAAGTCAACACAAAGGCGGAATTCGACACATTTTGTAAGCGTACCACAACATATGGTGTGAAGCGAGCGACAGATTAACAAAGAATCCCCATCGTAATTAACTCAATGTGCCAAACGGACATCGACAGTGTGAAGATGTTAATGATTAAATAAAGTGTTAAATTTTTTTTGAAAAGATAATATTTGCATTATTTAAGATATTTTTTCTGGTTTTTATCATAACAAGAGAATTTAAGCAATTTTTGAAAATAATATTTATTTTTTTCGGCATTGTGTTCGATATAATCTGGTGTTTTGTATTAGAAAAATATGTGTATCTGTCGAAGTTAGTGAAGTCATGCCTTGTGAATCTCAGAATACAGTATAGAAATATTTATAAATTATACATTACAAATTATAAATCTATATCATTAGCGCAAACACATTGTTACCAAAATACGTATTCGTCTCCATGTTGTTGTTCACTAGTTAAAAAACCCATTTGTAAACAGTTATGACATATGTTTTATTTATTTCCTATTTTATCACATTACATGGAAGGAATAACCGCTATAGATAAAAAATCGTGACTTTCTAAGATTAAAAACGGAAGTTCCTGTCAATATTGATAGATTTTATTTTATGTTTCATTTTTATAATATTTTTTTCATCCCTCAAAGTTAATTTGAAAACATTTCAAAATTTTGATATAAAAATGTGATAATCTTTACATCTTTGATTCTAAAACCAATTAAAGACATATTTGCTGTCTAATATTGCCGGAAACCTTCTTATATGCTGTATTTTTCGGTGTTTCATAAAATGTATACGCCCTCACCATGGCATTATAACAAAAATACTTATATGAACGTGATAAAACATAGATTCATTGCAATGGGGCGTGATGTTTTTAAAAAGCTTAAGAGCAATTTAAATATCAAACATAGATAATGTCTTATCAATATACTGAAAACTAGACAAAAGAAATTCATAAATAGTAATTCTATTTTAATGCTATATTTCGAGGCAAAATCTCAATCGCACAGCACTGAGCGATCGATGCAAATGCCGAACTTAAAAAGCATTTAAATATTTATTCCAAATTGAGTGAGGTATTCCGGGAGGATTTGCCGAACTTAGTGACAGCTATATTTCTATGAGATTTTGAATGATAACACCAACTCCTAACAGATCGGTAGATGTTTTGAGAGTTTTGAGATGCGGAGAGGAAGAAATTCCAAACATTTCGCTGATATAGGTTTGACGCAGTTATCAGATAGCGCTGCCTGTACCCGGTTCTCTGGTAATAAAAACATCGCATATAAACATCAAATTTAATTTCCAGATTTCGGTATCTTTAAAATCAAAGTCGAGGGTTCCCGCCATTTGTATGTATAGAGTGGGTATGAGACGAGGCTATACGGGAGACAAAGTTTCGGAGACACTCGATCGTTTTTATATCTTTGTACCAGATGACTCTAAGTACACTCTAAACTCCGGGAGTGGAAGCGGACCGTAAAACTTTACAAGGGTAAAAACATAGGGGGTCTGTTAATTACTTGGTCCGAGAGCTTCGTATATAATCTGAATCAGCTGGATGGAGACATATGTATCTATGGGAGCTAGCGCTAACTCGTGTCGACAATATTTACACATGGGGCTTATACCAGACCCGAATTCAGTCCTCTTCCCTTAAAACAACGGAGTATTTCAGGGGTCACAAAGCGGAAGGGCAATTTGATCTCTAATAAAGTTAGCTTTGCCGTCAAACTAAGGGGAACATCGGCACGTGTTGTAGGAGTGAAGTAAAAAAGAAGTACTTATGTCAATAAAATGGACACTTGAGTTTGTTTATTTTACGCTCATGTTGTATCCCATCGTATGTTATTAAGCGGGGTTAAACGGTGGACACGTGTGTATTGTCTTATTCATTAAAAAATTAGTAAAATAGCAATTCTTTAAATTCTCAAAATACCGAAACATATTGTCATATTACTAGTTTACGTTTTTATCTTACTTAGAACAAATACTATTTTTTAACAATTCCATGAAACAGACGAAACGAATCAAAGGACCAACTACATTTGTATAACGAACAGCCAGTAAAAATTAATAAATCTCTGCAATAGGCTAGGAAAATGTCACTTTATTATTATTACTTCGTTTTACTTTCCTTGACCTATCCCCAAAAATCACAACTTTTCTTTCTTTCTTTTTTTTCCTCTTGCTTTATTTATTAATGTTGAGTGGCACACGATCTGAGACATTGTATGCAATTTGTAACTGTTACTTGATTTTGACAATGCATTTCTTAACAAACCCTATACATATAAGTTATATGCCAGGCTTTCTAGAGTGGGAATCTTTTGCATAGATACACATTTTACTTTGACGTAGTATACAGCGTTAAGGAAATATTTTTCCACATACTTTCACAAGAGAGAAGTTCCCTTAAAAAATCTCCGCATATTAATAAATTATTTTCTGCTGATGAAAGACCATCCTATCACAGTACAGTACATAGTGTACGCGTGTGGTTCTATAGGGTATGGTCCAGTCACCTTCAAGTTCACTTGACTAATAACACACAAGTTCACTTGACCAATGACACACAAGTTCACTTGACTAATAACACACAAGTTCACTTGACCAATGACACACAAGTTCACTTGGCTAGTAACACACAAGTTCACTAATAACACACAAGTTCACTTTACTAATAACACTTAAGTTTACTTGACTAGTAGCGCACAGGTTCACGTGACCAATGACACGTAGGTTCACTTGACTAATAACACAAAAGTTCACTTTACTAATAACACAAACGTTCACTAGACAAAAAACACCCAAGTTCACTTGCCTAATGACATAAGTCACACAAGTCACACGACTAATGACACACAAATGCACTTGAATACTGTACCACACAAGTTCATTTTACTAATGACACACAATTTCACTAGATGAATGACACAACATTTCACGTGACTAATGACATACACGTTCACTTTATCGCAAAATACACGTGTATCAAATTTCCTTTTAAAAAACTCGTTTGATATTCAAAACAGTGTGATTTTTATTGCATGATTAGTTCTTTTATATTTTTATTGCAAAATTAGTGTAAGATTGGAATGATGCCAGGTATACCGAATTACTCGTCCTAAGTTTCCCTGATGCAAATAATTATCAAATCTTATCATTTTTTCTCACTTTCCTTTTTTCTCGTTTTTCATTTTTCCAGATAAAATCAAGAAAATACACATTGAACGTCAGTAAGACAAAAACTGGGTATTGCTGTAAAGTATTTTTGAATAACACATTTTTTATGAAATCTTAATCTAAATGATATTTCAACCTTCGGAAAGCACCAGATTTTCTTTTATAGTCATTTACGAACAGGTGCGCGGTGTCAGAATGTAGACTGAAGCTGAACCCACAGAGATTAAAGCGTTATTGCCTCACATCATGAAAACAAATATAATATTATTGAATTATTAAATTATTATTTATCTAATAAGAATTGATAAACTATGCGATAGTTAACATTTTCATGATTTTTATGTTGAAATTTATACACTGATGAAAACAGAGCTCTAAAGTACAAGTCGTTACAACCAAACTTTTATACACTGTAAAAAGTTTTAAATCTTGTAAATGCATGATTTCCTCAAAGATCCACAAAAACAGCGCTGAACTTGTATATTCACTGCTTCTCCTCTTTCTCTCTTTCTATCATTTCATCCTGTCCTTCTCTCGATTAAACAAAATACGTTTGCCAAAATCTATCATTGTATGTATATACATGAAAGTATGTTTGTATGTCACGTGATGTAAATGTGCCGTTTTTTCTGCAATTAAATTAATGATCAATTGATAGTAATTTGTAATTAAGTTTATGCATATTAAGATAAATGGTCTGTAAATCTCTTTTAAGATAAAATAAATAAAAATATATACCTGTACTCTCGCCTCTGTCAGATTACATCTGAGGGCCAATTGTTCTCGGGCGTAAACATCAGGGTAGTGTGTTTTCTGGAACACTCGTTCCATTTCTTCTAATTGGAAGCTTGTAAAAGTCGTTCTATTTCGTCTCTTTTTACCCTTTTGGTCGCCACTTTCACTGGAATCGTCCTTTTTATCATCGCCGTCTTCGTTAATATCCGATGATTCTTGTTTACATTTGACTTTGCTGTCGTCTGCTGGAGATTTGTTACAGTTCGTTTGTCCGTTCGGCTCCGACTTGACGCGCTCTTCGGAACTCCTCATCACTTTACTTTCCATCATATCTTGATCCATATCTATGTTTCAATAAAAATAGTGTTCCATAAAAAGAGAACTCTCAAACAAATTGTTTCGAAATTAAATTAATATTTTCACAATATACATACTCCGGAACAAAAATAAACTAGCAGGTACAATTATCCCCGAAAAATATCAGTGAATATATCGTTTTATCTAAATCTATATGAATATTTTAACTCTTTTGACATGTTTGTCCATACACTTCGTCATGGCAGCGAAAATCTTCGGAAAAATGAACGATATTAGTGAATTAAGTAATTAACGCTGTAAAGTGTAAGGACCACAGCACCGTAGTACTAATACAATATCATCAACATTCGAAAATCAGGTTTTAAAAAACAAAATATTTGACTGTGTTCGTTATCAAAATCAACCGCTACATAACTTAATTAACTATCTATTATCACCATGCGTTCTCAGTGTCCCAAATCTAACGTGCAGATACACGAACGTATACCGTGTTTTCAATCTCGTGCCGGAGAACGCCTATCAGATGGTATGGGGGAGCAGAGCTTTGCAGGAGTTCATTAGCATAAGTAGACTACCAATAAAAACTAAACACCATGAGAATGCGTTCGGAACTACCCCCTACATATTCTTTATCCCGTTAAACGTGCACCAGGGACACTAAGCTATATGTCACTACACTGCCTCTGCAGTACATAATTTTGTTTTGCAATTTCATAAGAATCAAAATAATATTGAAACAGGCAACAGCGAGGAGCATGCTTGTCAAGGTTGGAAACCCTCTCTAAATTGGCTAGCCTAGAGAGATCCTTATCTGATATAACTTGTTTATTTGCTGTTAAATGTCCGGGGTTTTCTATTCCCTCACAGTCAATACACGTTGTGATGTTAATAACATGGAGGTATTCGCTTAGAATAATAACAAATTTTATTGTGATTTATTAATAGACTTGTAAATTTTCATACGATGGTCAAAAATGTCGATTTTGTCTTACTTAAAGTGATGGTCAGTCTGGGATTGATAAACATAGGTTTGTAACTTAGAATCGTTCTGCAACTGAGCTTTAATTAGAACTGCTACAACAAACGTCAGACATGTTAGATGAATCAAAATGATTGGACAGTCCTAAGTTTCAGACAACCGAAATCACACTTTATAAAACAACAAAATTTGACGGCTGAGACAACAACTCTGAATAAATTGATATCTAAGAAATATTTTTCATATAAATATAAAATACTATTAACATAACTGATGTGACGTTATCTTACAGTATGCTTTATTTAACTGAAACATATCACCTTATAATATATATACAATAAAATATATTCTGATATATTCCTCTTTCTCCAGTTCTTATCTCCAGTTTTCATTTCTCATAGGAAATTTTTTCTCTTATTTTGTTAATACGTCATTCACCTTAGCCATCGCTGAGCTTTAAATCTAATGAAATGGGTGTAATTTGTATCCAATCTTTTTGCTTCACTTTTGAGGTAATAAAATATATTAAAACGCTTAAATACTAATATCAAGTTAATTATCTTTCATAATTGGTATAGTTTCCTGGCACGATGGTGGCGAACTGACATCGGATATGAATATAACTCTAATTTATTGATGTAATAGACAGATACTGCCCTTGTGTTTTCCCTAACGATAAAGGTTGCTTATGTCTGTCTTCTGTTGATGGCGATACCTCTTTGTGTTGAATTTTATGATTTTTCAAACTTTCCTGAATGAATATTGTATTCATAAATTATCGAATTTGAGTGAATCCATTACAAATATGGCATGTCCTAGTGGTGTACTTATAAACAAAAAGTAATTTTAAAAAATATAAATATATATATATATATATAGGGACATCATCAATCACATATTCCACAAAAAAAACACCATATTGACTGTTGTTGACAAAATCAGAGTTTTTAATATCAAATATCACTGTGTTGATTGAATAACGCTCGGTATCTGATTTTAGAGTACGTGTTTCCACTGACGTCAATGCAAGTGTCAATTTCATGTCGTTTTCCGTTTTGGCAACTTACATATTCAAATTATATGGGCATTAACTTCAATCAGCAGTCGTCAAGATTGTTTCATATTTATCGTCATAGTTTAACTTATAATAGTTCCAGGTTAGTGTCGAAAGTTTAACCTATTTAGCATTGCTCTCCTTCTGGTTTTAAAGAGGAAAAGTTTGATAATTTCAATGGAGAAAAATGCTGTTTGCTTTGATATTTCATACATTCATTCATTTGGAGAAGCCATTTATAAATTGTAGAAACTTAACTGACTAATCATATTGTCATATTTTATGCCATTCGTTCCTTCATTAGTGACGTGAAGAGATTTTTTCATAAAATTGAAATGTTAAACAAATTTAAATTGCTTATCATATCATTTAAGACCAAAAACTTAGTACTTCCTGTGTATCTTTGTAAATCCTTTTCATAACAAGAATATTATCCATATTGAATTTATAGTAAAAAAATAAAAGACGTAGGCCCTCAGATGAAAACGTCACTTTCTATTAAATATACTTTCCGTACAATTTGACCAGCTTCGTTTTTATGCTTTGCACGTCCCTGGAAACATATGTACCCACTTAAGATTGACTCTGCTTTAATGAAAAACATACACACCTTCACAGCGGTTTTATTTATTTTTTACTTATCAAGATACCAAAGACCATTGACCAGTTCCAACAAAGGTATAGGGTGTTATTTCCTGGCTGATGTATATAAAACTATGTATAGATATTTTGGTTTCAAACATTTGACAATTTTATACCCAACTTGAAATTACTGAAGTTGAGAGATGGACAAAGGATAAAAAATACTATGTTTCAAATGTATAAATCGGTTGTTGTTATTTTTTTTAGATTGACAGCTGACAGTCAGATCTTGTATTTCTATTCTGTAAACGTTTAATCGGTTATATGGCCTGTTAAATGTCGATGTCATTTGTGCACCGAATCAAAATTTTAAAATTAAATTTCAAGTGGAGTCACGCTTTAAATAGTTAAAGAGGAAGCAACAACTCGGAATTTGACTTGTTATTTAAGTTAGAATATTACATATCCGGTAAATAATTTATGCTAAATTATTAATTCATTATGAATGATAAAGAGTAAATGATGAATAATTATTCCCCATAGAAATATTTTTAAAAAAAATTACCTTTTCATTTAACGTATGCATCTATTCAACGAGGGATTCAAAAATGAAGAGCAAAAATATTTCACTCGTTTTCTCGCCCTCTTGATTTAATGAAACGGCATTTAATTATTGAACTTTCAATACCGTATAATTGAAAGAATATAGCTAAGAACAGAAATATATCACTGAAAAAAATCATTATTAAATAAATGCCATTTTTTTTCAATTTATTTTTGTTTGACTGGTCTTATGTAAAAAAAAATCCAAAGAGTTATTAAAGTCAGAGAAAAAAAGTCAATGAAACATATCTATTAATTCCATTAGTCGTTTAATAAACTACGTTGTTGTAATTGGACTTAAACCACCTGAATCCGTAACGTTATCGATCACACACTGGTGTCAATTTAACAGGACTAATTATAGAAATTTAATTGCAAATTGGGTTTAAAACGAAAATTGAACTAAGTCGATTTTGCAAAATTATTGACATTGAGTTAGACGGTAACTTTGATTTTGACAATAACTTGGCCGGTATTGATATTGACGGTAACTCTGAGTATTGACAATAGATTGACATTTAATCAAACTTTGATATTGACAATAGATTTGACTGGTCAGTATTGACAATGATAACTTTGACGTAACTGATAATATTTTAACCGATATTGACATTAAATTTGATATACATTGGCGATAACTTTGGTCGACTGATGGTATTTTTGGCTTGTATAGGCAATACACTGATATGTGTGATATCTTCATAACGTTAATTTGATGTCGGTGCTTACCTTCCAGTCGCTGTAAAAGCGGGTCTCCTCCACGACCCTTTCCGGCTAATATGCCCTCAATTGAATGATGGTTTAATAATTCCGGTTTGCTTTGCTGATTATAGTCAGCATTTGTCCGAGGATTGTGACCATTGTCCACGTAAGGTCCGTTGTCAAGAACTGACGCACGCAAAGAGTCCGGAATACGCCCATAAGCACCATACATTTTCTCTAACTTCACTTCGTAGTCGCGTGAATCCATCGCGAAAGAAGAATAGAGACTTGTCAATAAATATACGAATGATGATGTTTAAGAGAAAGTGGTCAGTAACAGCGGTCAGAAATTACTGGATAACCATGGCGAATAGATGACCACAATGGCATTCATGTGGCGATGTGTTAATTAGTGTTAATGACCTTAAGTGTACCAAGTTACGAAACCCAACACACATATATATATAAACGAACCAACACGATGGTACTTAACACACACAAGTACTTATGATCAAGAATCACTTTTTTCTCTAAGAGTAATAGCTCGTGGTTCGTCCGATGATGTCGGGCAGAGTGAGCTCTTGGTATCAGTACAGAGTTTATATTGCAACATGTTATAATACAGTTCTATGATACCGGATACAGACGCGGGGAGTACCCGCGGGGAGGAGGGACCATGTGTGTGTACTGCAGTTTCCAACACTTCCATCAAACCATGACACGAGCTAGGGGTGCGGCAGTCAACACGGGTATGCACATCCCGGCAAACTGACCACGGCATCTGGTCAAACACTGGTTTGTCCGGACAGGGTACTGACCACAGGAAATTCGGATCATATACCTCAACATCTTAGAGGATTACTGCTCTAGTGCACATGTTTGGGATTAAAAATCGAGGTGTTTTACATACCCCTTGACAAAATAGAGGAAGTAACCTGCTTTAGTTCTTTAGGTAAATACTAAAATATCAAAATTGAACACAATGGCGGAAGTATGAAAAAGACTTTGTTTAGATAGGGTCAAATGTAAATATTTTTGACGTGGTCAGCAAATTAGCATTTTGAAATATATGGATTTAAATTTAGAACAGCTATAAGACAAAATACTGTGTAGATGATTAGGAATATTAAATTCACTTATTAATATAAATTATTGCTGTGAGGGATATTTTCGCATCACGTATTTGGTTTTGAAAGGCGTTTATGTATGTTTAGCAGTGGACATGTTTTAATCGATTAAGAATTTATTTAGTTTTTTTACTTTAAAAGAATTGTCCGCAGAATTTGAAAAGAATAATTATAAATGTATGACCATTTGAAGAAAATATGCGTTCATTGTAATTAATATGGTTGTTCATCGATAGATGGAATATTGTACATAATTGTCAATTAAAGACGTCCGCCTAGAAACACATAGAAACACTTTTTTCTGAGTTAATTAATTCACAAAAGTGAATTATACACTATAAGTATATAATTACATAATTTCGTTCATTTTTGATGAACCTTCAACCTACCATTCATTTTCACTTTTTCGTAAAAGTTCATAAAGAGTCGAATGTTTATGTGTTGTTCGGGTGTAGTGGATAGTGGCATCTATCGAGGAGGCGTGTGTTACATTCTCCGAACGAAAGTGGAAGTTATGACATCACGTGTCAGATGATGTGGACTTTCTCGGACAACTCCAGGTTCCCTCCAACAGGAAGAACAAATACACAATTCCGTCTAGATCATATACAAAATTTGTTATAAATTGGTGCGCTTACTTCCAAAATTGTTAAAAAGATACAGTGAAAATTTAAAAAATCAATATTTATTATGAACTCGTAGAAGTGTATATAAATCTACCATCAATCAAAATATTATTTACCTCAAATGATTTTTGGTTAAACATGTTTAAAAGGTGACGTTGTGGTAAGTTAAAATTACATGTAGGTGTGCTAGTAAAACCAGATATAAGTCATATTTGTTTTCTTTAAAGCTTCAGAATATTATATGCATATAAGTCGATTTTAAAAAATCTTTTATTTATTTATAGATATATCAAAAAAGTTCAACATGTTGTGTTGTATCCATGAAATTAGTTGGTATTATTAATAGGAAAATAAGACTATGAACAGAAAGATAGATTTAAAAAAAATAAACTTTAAGTCTTTTAATTCAGGCTAAAGGTTGCACTCAATATTACATTGTGTTAAATAACTTGTCAAGTAAGATGCTTAAGAAGTAGTTTGATCCGGTAAGTAGATTTGAAAAATTAATAATAGATAAATAAAATAAATGAATAAATTATGACAAGCTTTATCCTACACATTGTCCACTAGTCATCAGGAACATATCCTTTCAGTACCGACAGAGCATTTCTCTCTCCCTCTCTAAGTTTTCATATCGGTTTCTCGGTTTCCATTGAAATAGTTTCAGTCATTGAAATGGTGCTAAATAACAGTTTGATGGATGCATGACATCGTTTTTACTAAATCACATTTATGAAATATATTTCTTATTTCAGAAGTGAAAGTTAAAAAACAACTGCTGACATACATATATATCGTGGCACGCGTAGATCAAATTACAGATGCACGTGCATATGCAATTTTGTCGTTCTAGATTAACGATTTATTTCATGTGTTCCATAAACATTTCTCGAATCATTAAAAACATATGAGTGTGTGGTATTCTTTAAATGAAATTTCCAAACATACCCATAGCAATTACTCTTAAATGCTCATTAAATTACTCAATTTCTTTACAGTCAGGTCTAGGTGACTGACCGTTAAACAATCGACAAAACAATATCTAAATGAATAAATACAATTCGAGTGAGAACTTTGCTCAGATTAGCTAAAACATATATGTTTTATATATTTTTGATATTTCAATCTAGTTTGGTACTGGGATTTATCTGGCAATTGGCCCTATGCCAATTAAGAAAAAAATACTTATGCAATTTTACAAGGCGTTTTAATTATAAAATGCTACATCAATTAAGTACTGAAGCAATCGTTAAATGAATATTGTCTTTTTCTTTCATTATTCATAGACAATATTAAACCTGTGTGATTGGTGTCCCGGTTAATGACCCGGATGAATCAACGCGGCTCTCCTTTTAAAAGAGGAAGTGAAATGTACACCACGTAACGCTTGTGTACATCGTCTGACGTCATAGCACGAAACAGCGAGAAAACAACGGAGCCTTGCAGTGTCGCAAATAATACTACAGCTTCAATGTTCTGTCGTTTGATAATAATACATCAGTTCTAATGGATGGCGGTAACGAGACTAAATTAATCTGAAACTTGTTTCAGGCGCCTCAAATTCAAATTTCTTAATTAATGAAAATTACAAAATGAAGTAGTGACGTTCACTGAAACTTTAAAATTTATTATCTAAGTTGAAATTTAACTTACATGTCAAAGTTAAAATATATCATAATATTTTGAAATTAGGCTCACTTTTAAACAAAATGCATTTATATTTCCTTTGTATATAATAAATACATATATCTGTTTTGTTTATGTATTTTTTTGTTTTAACAGAATATATCGTTCATTAAATAAGAAAATAATTCTGGAATTTTTAACTTCGTCGCAGTGTTTTATTTTCTTTCATAATAAATGATAATTTGTCATTAAATTTTGTCAAATCTTCATTGCTGAAGTACAATTGTCACGATAATATAGCGAATACGAGCCGACTAGTAAGGTTCTTCTGAGAAAATAAAAAAAGAACTTGGTTTGTGGGCGCTTCGTGGATTCACCATGAAATACCAGTTCCAGTTTAAAACAGTAAAATAACTCACAAATAGAGCATTATTGTTTGGTTTTATCACAAACCTTCATTATTGGGATATGTATATATCCCACAGTAGGAGGCGTGATACCGCCGCGGGCGGGAGCCCGCTGGATGTCGGGATTATCTGAATATGTTATTGACTTTGTAAGCGAGACTAAGGGTGTAAGGCTAATGTCAATATTTATTTTCTTTCTGTCTCCCGTGTCAAGTTTTCCTTATACTTCTTGCATTTCCTGTGCAACGCAAACAAAATGATATCAATTTAAAAATCAAATTTAATTCTTAATCCTGTTAATGTTGTATATCCGTCCGATCAGAGTTTGCTGTCGTAAATGATGTTCATATAATGCTTCTTTTAAGTAGATACTATCTTGAATAGTCTATCATTACCCCCTGCCGCCATATCTTCACCCCCTCCCCCCACCCCCTCTGTCTGCCTGTCTGTCTCTCTCTCTCCCTCCCTCTCCCTCTCTCTCTCTCTCTTTCTCTCTCTCTCTCCCTCTCCCGCGCGCGCGTGCATTTCCAACAACCTATTTCAAGAATATTTTTTTATAGCATTGCCGAATAAAAATCTGTGAAACTGACTGCTAAATTCTGTATCACCATGCCCGAGATCGCAAAGCGCTCGTGTGTTAATTCACGTGCATTCCGCATGGTCACTTACAACACAGCGTTCGAGGGTTCAAATGACCAACTAAGCTGACCGCTCCTTTTCTTACCGTCGTTTAATTAGCGTGAGTTCGAAGCACAGAAAAGACACGAAATAATTGTCATTTGTATTCCTATATCATGACGTTAAAAACAGATATTCCCCGACCACATGTGTCCGTTAATGTATCCTTTCTCCTGTGACATGCCAGATGTGCATGTCCGTTCTCACAGCGACAAACGCCCGATGAGGGACCGTTCGGCCAGGCCAGTGTCACCCTATGGTGATGGTTGGTTGGTTGGTTGACCGGTTTTCCGTCTCCGCGACTCCTCCGGGTGCTGGGTATCGTCTCACCTTAAAGTGTACCCTGATTGAAAAAGAAATGAAAAAGAAATGAATATGCAATTATTATTCATTATCCAAAATTAAAATTGTTGAAAACCGCATCAAAATCGGCCGGGGCCACAGCCAGATACTGAATTTTCACCAGTCCGTCTACTACTTATCACCAAAATGGTGACCAACGCTGAATGGGACCCTATTGGCTGTGACGTCATAAGTTTCACGACTGGTAGCAACCGACATGGAGAGAATTGGCGAGATCGAGAAACAGCTAGGCTGTGTAACGTTAGGTTGCAAATGGATGTTTACTAGTTTTGAGAAATTTGATAATTCGGACGATAACCTAATGCAGACGGTAAACAGTCATATGTAATTTGTCAGAAGTGATAAATTTAAACATATTTATCATTCAAACGTAGAACAAGGGACGGGGCACCAGTTATTCACAATTATATACGGAAACAATTACTATATGGAAATATGCAT